GCTGAGCCTTGGTGAGCAAGGGTATATTCTGAATATTTGAGTGGATTGTTTGGGTTAGACTAATTAAAGATGGTTATCTTAAGGAAGGTGTTGGGAATGGTTATGGTAGAAATGGAGTTTGTTTTAAGTGATAATTATATTAATTTAACATAGATAAGTGACTTCTTAAGTTAGCTGTTGGATGCCTGAAATCTTGGTTGGCAAGGAGTTTTCCTTGTAAATTTGCGAAGAGCCAATATCTAAGGGATTAGAATGAAATGCACACTTGATGTTTTGCAGGGTCTTGTATATTTGTGCTTGTCAACACATATACACCTGCGTGCATAGATACGTATAATGATAGAAATAATGTGTTAATTTGATTAGGTTCTATAACTAGTCTTTAGGGAAATGGGCATGGTAGTCTTGAATTATGAGTGATTCAAATGAATTGGTAGAGAATATTTGGAAAGATCATTGTCAAGTTATTGGGGGGTATGCTTAGGAAATGAATTTTTCGGTGACTGGTGGCCTCTGAAGTAGGTTCACAAGATTTGAGGGCAGTTTGGGGCAAATTTGTAAAATCAGTGTTAGCTTTCAGGGAATGAGGGAGTGTTTGAGAAAGTTATTTGAATTGTTTGGTAGGAGCTGATAAAAATTACACAAGTTGTGGAGAGGTTCTGAATAGGTAAGTGGGAGATGGAAGGGATTTATGAGGAGGCTTGTTACTATTAGAAAAGTAAATTTCAAAAGAGTAAAATTGGAAAGATGGTTTAGGGAAGGTTATTTTGGGAAAATACAATTCTTAGGTTAAAAACTGGAAGGTGAGGGGAAACTAAAATGAGTAATTTAAGGTGTGGAGAAGTAAGAGTAAAAGGAAGACTTAAGGAAGAGGTTACTGAAAGATTTCTGATTTTAAGGAGTGTTGCGTTGGATTCTACTTTTGATTGTTCTTCAGTAAGGAAAAGGAGCTTAAATATACCATGGTTTGTAGGGGTGGAGAATTTTACTAAGGCTAACTATGCATAATGGTTTTATTTCTTAAGAAACCTCGGAAGTAGGGAGCCCTCCGGTTCTCTGGGCTCTTGGAGCCCAGGCCTGATCCGACATCCGCACCGGGGGGGATTTTGCCAGTGCTCAGCTTGTCGGCGGGCGGAGCAGCCCGGGTCTTGGACCCAGAGCCGCCTCGCTGCCGCCGGCTCCGCCCGCGAGCACAGCCGAGTGGAGCCGGGCCGGTGGGCCACGGGCCGCAGGGATCCGCGCACCCACAGGCCCCTTCGGGGCACTCCAGTTAAGTGAGTGGGCCTGGGGCTGCGTGGTGGGGGCTGTAGAGAGGGACTTTCCGTAGCTCCGGGACCAAACCTCCGCACGCGGCTCGCACGGCTTCCTTTTGTTGTATGTATACGTGTGTGAGTGCGCGCGCGTGCGTTAGTGCGCCCTTATGCAGGAGGCGGCGGGGAGCGTGGAGGAGCCGGGGCTTTTCCTGCTCTGGTGGCTGCTGCGCCCGGGGCCTTGGCGGGCAGTGGGGCCTCCCAGACACCGGTCTTCCGGGTCCGGGCCCGCGGCGCTGTCTAGGCCCCCTTTCCGCAGCGAGATGGCAAACTTCGTGAGTGGCTTCTCGGCGACTAACAAGTGCCTGGCCGACAGTGGGGGGGCTGCGAACCTTGACACCCCCTTTTCTCGCCTAACCCTGTTTTTTCCGACTCTTCTGTGGTACTGCATTGTGTTTACATTTTTATGGTGTGCGAAAAGGTCAGATGGGTAACTTGGTTTAATACACAGTTTTTTACTTGGTATCTAGAGCAAAAAATGTGTGCAGATATCCGCATATTGGTTGAGCTAGTAAAGTCTGTGTGTTTAGTGGTCAGAACAGCCTTAAGGCCTTTCCAGATTTAGAGTAGGGGGCAAACTTTTGCTTTCCAGACTTTGTGAAGCACAAAGTGGCAGGAAAGAACTATTTGTGAAGCCGACCAAAAGCTAGACAGACTTACAGTCCTTCCCAAGAGCTTGAATTAAAAACAACTTTTATTTTTGGTTTTACATAATAATTACGATTTGTGTAGTTTAGAAGTAGAGTTTTGCAAAATGGGGTATGGTGGTAATAAAAAGTATTGCTTATTAATTTTATAGAGGGCAGTAGTAAAGGCACCACACAGTTTTGAAATTTCAAGTATGTTAAATGTTGCTATAAATAAAATCCTATTCAGATTTTTAGATTTAATAAATCTAAAAATACGTTTGCAGTTGTCCTTTGGGTGTAAGAGGAAGTCCTGGGTTTCTCAGTGCATGTTTCTGGGCAGATTTTCAGTATTGTCAGCATGATACCGGTATAGAACCTTAACCTGAGTGAATAATTTGCTTGAGATTACCAGTCTCTTCTGCAGCTGGGAATAGACTCTGGGTCTCTTATTCCCAGTCTGGTGACTTATCCAAGAATAGACTGAGGAAACTGGGTATTTGTATGTTTGGTGGGAAATAATGGCTGAGTTTGATTTTCATAGTGGATATTAAAAGAGCCAAAAAACGGATGTGTGAATGTTTATTTTTCTGTTGTAATATTTAAATGTAGTTTCTCCACACTGAATGTCTTCTGTCTTTAAATACATAAAGGGCTTGAATATATTCCTCAGTGTTACCTTTTAAGGCATTTGTAGCCCATTTACATTTGATTAAAACAGATGGATGCTTTTTGTATTTGGATGGATATTTTTCATGTGTGTATTCTCACAGGTTAGAGAATAGTAGGTAACTTGAGAATGTTTAGCCTTTTCACAAATGCTAGGGGGAAGAATAATTACATGTATTTTGTCATGTATAATGCACACCTTTTTGCCCAAAATTTTTAGGGAAAAATAAGGATGCGCATTATACATGGGTATAATGATTACATACCATGGGTATAATAATGGGTGTAATAATCCTGTGTGTAATAGTCACAAAACCGTGTGTGTACACTATACACTGGAATGCATTATACACGGCGAAATACGTTATGTTAACATCATTAATCTCTGTTTAAAAAAACAAAAACTTTGGTCTTATTGAGGATGCTCTTTCTGGAGGTGGAATACCTGTGGGTTTTCTCCTCAGCTCTATACATGTACTGTCATCGTCATTCTTGTTACTATATTAGATCTGCACAACAGTATTTGGTTAACATGTTTTTCAGCAAGCTTCATACAAAGGAATACCTTTTCTTTTTACAGTGTATGAGTTGCAGTTGAACCTTTTTTGGTCTTTCCTACTCTTTCTTACGCCTTTTTTCCTATACCACAAAAACAAAAGCAATCTTTCTTTTTCCCATCTTCAAAGAACCCTCAATATTTTAAATCTGATACCAAAGGATCTTCACCAGAAGTGATTTTGGCAAGGTATAAAGATATTTTTGAGCCCCGACCAGGTAGCTCAGTTGGTTAGAGCATCATCCAGATACACCAAGGTTGCAGGTTTGATCTCTGGACAGGGCACATACAAGAAGCAACCAGTGAATGCGTGCATAAGTGGAACAACAAATCTCCTTTCTTCCCTCCCTCTCTCCCTATAATCAATCAATAAAAAAATTTTAAAAATGTTTCTTTAAAAAAAAGATTTTTGGTTGCACTGGGGGATTCTTGTATCTAATGGGTAGATGCTAAACATCCTACAATGCACACGATAGCCCCCACAACGAAGAATTTTCCAGTGCAAAATGTCAGTAGGATTGATGTTGAGAAACCCTGATCTAATATATCAAGAATAATATTCTCCAAAATAATGTGAATCTATAAAAATTATATTATAACATAATTGTAATTAAATACTGTATTATGTAATGTTATTTTATATAGTTACAATACTTATAATGACATTTCTGTATCACATCTGTTATAAACGTTTTTCCAAACATGTTATTAGAATGATCATGGGTCAAAGATTCTAAGTATTTTTTGGAGCCTCACTGCTTAGAATTTTGGACGTGGAAGAGTAACAAGTATAACCCTTTCAGTATGTAAATAAGGAAATGGACTTTAGAGAGATTGTGACTTACCCAAGTTCCCACGGTTAGTGCAGAGCTCAGTTCTCTTGTTACTTCTATTAATATTAAATTATAATAACTTATTTAATTAAAACTAATTTAATTATTACTGAGGGACATGGTATTTTATCATTTTTGTTTGATATACAGATAAATAGACAAAAATAAAATTACATTGTGAGAATCTTAGTGTTCAGTGAATTGTTATTTTTTTAGATTAACATGTGGATTCTTTAGCATAGTTTTGTAATCATTGTCAACTTTTCAGCATCTGCTTTTAAAAAAGTGTTGAAAATTTAAAAAGAGCACATACAATTTTAAAACAAAATTGAAAGTTAATAATGATACCTTAGGCAACATTGTAAATGCAAAAACCCAACTGGAATTGTTAAAATATCTTATGGTGTCTTGAACTCGGACATCTGATCTGTCGTGTGACCGTCACTATAATAATTACTGTGCTGATTGTAAATCTATTCTAGTGGGAGTGTTTTGGCTATTTCTGGAAAAAAAATAATGGAACTTTGAGGTGAAATGTAATTGGGTAAAATATAAATTGGGTATTTAGATGAACTATTTTCAAATAAAGCTGTGTATTGTCAGTAAAACTATCATTTGGATTCTTTCGATGTTTGAATTTTTTTCCTGCAATGCTATTTTTTAAAAATATGAGTAAAACAATAAGTACAAAAGACCATACGGGCAAAGATTTCTTTAAAAACTGTTTTATATAAGAAATTTGTTTTATAGAAAAATTTAAAATGCATATTAGCAAAAAAAAAATTACCAACTGGAGAAGCTGCCATTAATATTTTGATATATGGCTTTTTTATATTTTCCTTAACCTTTTATTATGGGAAAATTTGAATAGATGAGAAATAGAGTAGTAGTATGAATCTCTGTGTCTGTGACCTAGCCTTAACAGTTAGTAATGAAATGACTAGTCTTGTTTCATCTATACAGGCACACATTGTTTTATTGTGCTTTGCTTTATTGAACCTCACAGGTGTTTGCATTTTCAACAAATTGAAGGCAAGACCATCCACCAGAAAAAAGATTACAACTTGCTTTATTGCAGTGGTTTGGAACCAAAGTTGGCAGTGTATCCTGAGGTATGCCTGTATCTCCATCCCCTTTCTCCCCTCTTGTTATTTTTAATTTATTATTCATTCATTCATTCATTCATTCGTTCGTTTATTTATTTATTGTTTATTGAGAGTGGAAGGAAGAAAGAGAGAGAGGTAGGGAAACATCAGTGCGTGAGAGAAACATCGATGGGTTGCTTGTTGGCCAGCAACCTAGGCATTTGCCCTGATTGGGAATCAAACCGGCAACCGTTTGGTTCATAAGCCGGCACTCAACCCACTTAGCCACACCAGCCAGGGTTCCCTTCTCATTATTTAAAAAAAAACAACAACTTTATTTTTATATAATTGTAGACTCACAAAAGTTCCAAAATTAGTAGTCTTATATATCTTTTATCCAGCTTCCCCCTGGTAGTGACATCTTACAAAGTTCTAGTAAGACATCAAAACCAGGAAATTGATACTGGTGCATTACCATTAACTAAACCTAATTTTTTTTTAAATCTTTTTTTTAACCTGAATTCATTTTTGTATGTATAGTTCTGTGCAGTTTTCTCTCATATATAACTCAACTACCACCACAGCAAAGATAACAGAACTGTTCCGTTACCATAATTAAAAACCCCTTTGCTACCCCTTTGTAGTCATACCCCAATCCCAAACTCCTTCCTGTCCCCTGAAAACCTATTTTCTACCTCTGTAGTTTCATCATTTCAAGAATAGTGTATAATGGTATATTAATATATACTTTGTTTAACCATTCACCTGTTGAAGGACTTTTGGTATATTCAGTATTTTGCTATTAAGAATCAAGTGGTTATAAACATTTATGTACAGGATTTTCTGTATAATTTCTCCCAGATAAGGGGTGAGCTTCTTGGGTTATACAACAAGGGCATGCTTAATTTTATAAGAAACTTCTGAACTGTTTTTCAGAATAGCTGTACCATTCTACATTCTCATAAGCAATGAATGAGAGAGATCTACTTTTTCGTCATCCTTGTTAGCATTTGTTATCACTATTATTTATTTTAACTACTTTAACTACTTTAATAAATATATAGTACTATCTTGTAGGTTTAATTTGCATTGCTCTAATGGTTAATGATATTGAGCATCCTTATATATACTTACTAGCTCTCTATGTCTTTTGCTCATTTTCTAATCAGATAATCAGGTTTTTTTTTTTGGCTGTTAAGTTTTGAGAGTTCTTTATATATATTTTAGATACAAGATCTTTGTCAGATATATGATATGCAAATATTTTTCTCTTAGAAGCTTATCTTTTCATTTTGTTAACAAGATCTTTCACAGGGCCAGTGTTTATTATTTCGATGGTGTTTGGTTTATTTTATATGGGGCATATTTTTGGTGCCAAGTCCAAGAACCCTTTTCTTTAGGTCTTGGAGCTTTCCTGTATTTTCTTCTAAAAGTTATATAATTTCATGTTTAAATTCATGATCCATTTTGAATTAATTTCTGTATATTGTTGTGAAGTTTAGGTCAAGACTTATGTGGTGTGTGTTTATTTTGTCTATGGATATTCAATTGTTTGAGCACTATTTGTTGTTAGAACTGTTCTTCCTCCATTGAATTGTTTTTGCCCATTGTCAGAAATCAGTTGGGCATATTTTGGTGCTCTATTTTTGGGTTTTAGTATTCTGTTCCATTGATCTATCTGTTTATCTCTCTGTCAGTACCACACTGGCTTGATTACTATAACTGTAAGACAGTCATCAGGTGGAGTATTCCTCTTACTTTGTGAAGACTGTTTTAGCTATTGTAGTTTCTTTTCTCTTCATACAACTTTTAGAATAATCTTGTTTATGTCTACAAAAAACATCTTGCTAGGATTTTGATAGGAATGGAAGAAATTATAATTTAATTTGAGGAGAATTTCTTTTATAGAGATTTTCAGTTTATGACCATGGAAAGTCTCTCCATTTGTTTAGAGCTTCCATATTATTTTGAAGTAAAATCTAGGCATCATGTAGTTTTTCTTAAGCAGTTTTAGTGAGCTGTAGCTTACATGCAATACAATTTACCCATTTCAGTTGTTTTTAGTGTATTTACAGAGTTGTACAGCCATCACCATAATCAGTTTTAGAGCATTTGCATCACCCTAAAAAGAAACTTTGTATCCATTAACAGTCACTCTCCATTCTGTTTGTCCTTAACCCTTGGCAACCCCTAATATTTTACTTTCTGTCTTTATGAATTTGCTTATTCTAGACATTTCATATTAATAGAATCATAACAGTATGTCTGGCTTCTTTCATTTAGCATAACATTGCATGATGTAGCATGTATCAGCAGTTCATTTGTTTTTATTGCTGAATAGTAATCTGCATTGATATTACTAATTTTGTTTACCCATCAGTTGACTGACATGTGGGTTGTTTCTACTTTTTGGCTATTATGAATGATGGTACTACGAACATTCATATGCAAGTTTTTATGTGAACATTTATTCTTAGTTCTCTTGGGTATATACCTATGAGTGGAATTGCTGAGTCATAGCCAATAAATCATTGCCAAGACAAACTCTTGAACCTTTTCCCTTTAAGTGTTGTTAGGGGTTTTACAGTTTTAAGCCTCATGTTCAAGTCTAATCCATTTTGAGTTGATTTTTGTGTATGGTGTAAGAGTCCATTTTTATTCTTTTGCATGTGTATATTGAGTTTCTCAGTGTCTTTTTTTAAAAAAGCCTATTCTTTCCCCATTGTGTATTCAGAAATTTTTTTCTATTTTTAAAAAATTACAGTCTATATTCAGTATGTATTAATTGCAGGTATACAGCATAGTGTTTAGACAATATTTTACAGTGTTCCTTCAGTACCTACCCAGCACCATATATAGTTCTTACAATATTATTGACTATATTTCCTATCCTGTACTTTACATCCCTATGACTATTTGGTAACTACCCATCTGTACTTCTTCATCCCTTCACCTTTTTCTCCAGTTCCCCAGCCCCTCTCTTCTCTGGCAACCATCAGTCTGTACTCTGTATCAATGAGTCTGTTTCTGTTTTGTTTGTTTATATTGTTTTTCAGATTCCACATATAAGTTAAATCATTATGGTATTTGTCTTTCTCTGACTGATTTATTTCACTAGCATAATATCCTTTAGATCATTCATGCTTTCAGAAACGGTAAGATTTTACTCTTTTTGTATGGCCAAGTATTAGTAGTCTTGTTGAAGATCAGTTTGTCCCTATATGTATGGGTCTATTTCTGGGCTGTGTTTCTTTTACTGGTCTGTATGTCTATCTGTATGGTGGAACTATAGTGTTTTAATTATTGTAGCATTGTATTATACTTTGAAATTAGAAGAGGTGAAGTTTTCAGCTTTTTTGTTTTTCTATATTGTTTTGGCTATTGGGGTTTTTTTGTGGTTCCATTTGAATTTTAGAATTATATTTCTATTTTTGTAAAAAAGGCCATTAGGATTTTTATGGGGATTGCATTAATTTGTAAATTGCTTTGGTTAGTATAGATCTTTTGACATAAACATGGGATGTCTTTCTATTTATTTGCATTTTAATTTCTTTCATTTGCATTGTATAGTTTTCAGTGTGTAAGTCTTTTGTCCCCTTGGTTAAGCTTATTCCTGAGTACTTCATTCTTTTTGATGCTATTGTAACAGTTTTAAATTTTGAGAAATTTGAAGTCAAATTTATCTTTTTCTTTTTTTGCTTGTATTTTTGGAGTCATATCTAAGGAGGCTTTGCCTTATCCTGGCTTGCAAAGATTTATTCCTATATTTTCTCCTGAGAGTTTTATAACTTTAGTTTTTACATGTAGCTCTTGAATCCATTTCGAGTTAATTTGTGTATATGGTATGACGAAGGGGTCTTAACTTCATTCCTTTGCATGTGACACCTATTGGCCCCAGCAACATTTGTTGAAAAGATTATTTTTTCTCCACTGCATTATCTTGGCACCCTGTCAGAAATCATTTGACCATAAAAATAGATGTTTATTTCTGGACTCTCAATTCTATTCCTTGATCTGTATGTCTGTATCTTTATGTCACTACCAGAGTTTTTGATTACTGTAGCTTTGTAGTAAGTTTTGAAATCAGGAAGTATGCATCCTCCAACTTTGTTCATTTTCAAGATTGTTTTGGGTATTCTGGGTCCCTTGTAATTTGATACCAATTTTTAGGATTAGTTTGTCAGTTTCTGCAGAAACCACTGTTGGGATTTTGACATGGGTTGTATTGAATTTGCAGGTTAATTTGGTAAAATGTTTTCATTTTAACAATCTAAAGTTTCCTGATCCATGAACACCAGATGTCTATTTGTTTAGGTATTTGTTAATTTATTTAAAAGGTGTAATTTATAGTTTTTCAGTGTGCAGGTCTTGTACCTGTTTTATTAAATTTATTGCTAAGTACTTTATTCTTTTTGATGCCATTGTAAGTGACAATACTCTCTTAATTTTATTGATGCATTATTTATTGCTAATATATAGAAATACAATTGATTTTTGTATAATGTTCTTGTACTATTCACCCTTGCTGAATTTATTAGTTCTTGTAATTTTTTAGTCGGTTCTTTAGGGTTTTCTGTATATTGTATCATGTCATCTGCAAATAGAGACTTTTTCCCTTCCATGTGAATGCTTTTTATTTTATTTTCTTGCCTGAAGAATGTCTCGTACAGTTTTGAGTAGAAAGTAGACATCTTTGTCTTGTTTCTGGTCTTAGGGAGAAAGCATTCAGTATTTTAACATTAAGTATAATGTTGTTAGCTCGGGATTTTTCTTAGATGGCCTTTGTCAGGTTGAGGAAATTTTCTTCTGTTCCTGATTTGTTGGGTATTTTTATTGTTTAAGTTTGTTAGACTTCATCAAATGTTTTTCTGCACCTACTGAGATTATTTACAAAAAATATAAAGGTTTATTTATATTTTTATATATTAGGTTCTTTATTCTTTTCATAGGGTAATAATATATTGGTTGATTTTCAGGTTTTAAACCGATTTTGCAATTCCAAGATAAATCCCACTTAGCATTGGTGC